TCTTCCTCTCCGAGTATTAGGATATTTACTGTAGAGTGTGTAGTCTCGATACTCGTTTTTCAATACGAAGAAATAACTATATTCACCACACCTTTTCATAATAAATCTTTTGAGATGAAGAATTGGGTACTAACCGCAAGGGGTTACTATCCTAGGATCTATTTCACTCCTTAAAAAAATAACCTCACAAATCAAATATGACATCTTGCCTCGATGGTGAAAACTCTCTTTTCAAAAAAGGATATGTTACGTCCGTTCTACCGCAAACAGGTAACACCTATGACTCCACGAGCGAGCTGCAATACACCTAACTGCTAGAGTGTGTACGTTAGCATCATCCACAAAAGCACCAGTTAACCGTAGTTCCCCAAACTACGTCTGCACTGATTTCTCATACCAGATGAGGATACGTAGGCACAAGATGGTAATGTCTTGGCGACCGCTTTTTTCCACCTTTCCCGTAGTTCCCCGAACTACGTTTGCTCTGATTTCTCATACCAGATAAGGATACGTAGGCACAAGACGACGATGTCTTGGCGAGTACACTTTTTCACCTTTCATTCGTAGGCCGAACTATGACTGCTCTGATTCCTCATTCCCTAATGAGGATACATAGGCATGAGGATCTCCATCCTTGACGAGCACACTAACAACTAACTTCCCCTTTCTCTTGCCCTAGTGCAATCGAGACCAACCTGTTATCCAGAACCTTTTATCTTGCCCGAGTGGATCGAGACCTTTTCCCGTAGTTACCCGAACTACGTTTGCTCTGATTTCTCATACCAGATGAGGATACGTAGGCACAAGACGGTGATGTCTTGGCGAGCAACCTCCCCCCATCACCCGTAGTTTCCCGAACTACGTTGACTCTGACTTTCTCATATCTGTTGAGAATACATAGGCCTAGGACCGCGAAGTCCTACCGACTCTCTCTCTCTCTTCTTCCCCTTTATCTCTTTTTCCCTATTTCTAACCTCTCTTTATCCATTGGAACACTCTTATATAGCAATACCTTTTAGCAAATACTTTCACACATAGACAAACAAATGGTTCCCATCGAGTACGATAGATGCGAGGGGTGCTAATACCTTCCCTTCGCATAACTGGCTTCCGAACCTGTTCTTTTGGTTGCGAGACCATCTTATCCATTTCTTTCTTAGGGTTTTCTCGATGTTTTTCCTTCCCCTTATGGGATAAATAAAGTTCGATGGCGACTCTTTTGTCTTTCCGTTCTCGCCTCTCCGTCGTTGCATTTTTCGAGTAGCGACAAATATAATATTACATGTTTATACAAATATAATCATTAGAAATAATGTTTAACAGACAAGATCTAACATTTACCTAAGTTTACACATTAAAACAGTATGAGCAAACAAAACTAACATCATAAAATTCTAGAAAGCGATAAACCCTAAAATCATATATTTTTAGAAAGCGATAATCAACCTATTAACATGCAAACTATACAAAAATTTAAAAGAAAAGGATAGAAATAAATTAGCACCATTATTTATATGTGTTCGGCCTATCGTCCTTACTTGCACCTAGCCAAGTCTCTAAGGGAAAACTATTGAAAAAATTTTAGTCTCAATCTCTTCCCTCGTGATGTTTGTTATATCGGTATTCTCATATGACTTATTCTTCTCTATGTCTTTGGCTAGTAATGTTTCCTTGTATTTGATGTATAATCGAGTGCAGACGAGTAGTTCACTTATATTTTAGAGCTCTTCCAGACCTAACTTCTTCCTGACTCATGGAGTTTGACCTCATACCTATCTTAAAAATCCGACATTTTAGTTTAACATTTTCTCCCTTGACATCCACGGCTTCTCTGGTGAATATGTCAATGTAGTCCCTATAAGTTTCCTTCTTTCTCTGCAAGATGGTGTTGAGTACAACCATTATCTTTGGTTAGATTTTCTTGGAGGTCAAGTTAGAGGTGAACTTTTTGCACAATATCTTTCAAAATTTAATAGAGTTGTGTTTTTAGTCCCTTGAACTAAGTCATGAAACACCTTTTAGTGTAAGAACAAAGAGTTTGCATTTCACTACGCCCCTGGCTTGGTAGTAATCTATGATGATGTCAATGTTTCGAACATTCTCATTAGAGTCACCAGTTCCATCACACACATCTAACTTTAAGGTATTTTCCAAAGGCCCCGAGATGATACCCTATAGTACCATTGATGATGAGTTACACATTGTTATGGAGAATTTTTCTCGTGCCTCCTTTGCAAACGATGAGAAGAATGATGCCTCTTTAGATGAAGGTTTTTAGGTGGTATGTGGTTGTTATCTCTCCCACCAAAGTCATGTGGGAGGAGAAATGTTGTCACAGTGAGGAAGGCAAATCTTTTATGGTAGTTCTCGAACTCTAGATGGTTGCAAACATGCTTATACAAGAATGATCATTTGAGAGACTCCAGTATGGCCACGTTACAATTCCTCTAACCATGTTGACATCTCAGTTGGATTTTTTTCCTCTTGTTCTCTTTGACGAAGAGGAGATTCATGTTTTGTTCCCGCAGTTTATTGAAAATGTTCAATAAGAGCTCGTCCGAGTTTAGTGCATCGAATGAGGCTTGGAGTTATTGGAAAGGATGCACTGGTTGAGGAACCGAAATGAGAGCAAGTGGATGAAGTTGATTTTGCGACAAGAGAAAAGTTTCTTGGAGTGGCAGTTGAACTTGATGAATTGTTACTGAAATATACGGGTCTTGACATATGGGACGATATTCGATGACGAGAGAAAGAATTGTCGTCGCGTTGTCATGAACATCTCATAGTTGATTTTAGGTGGTGATTGTTGTTGACATTTTCGGCGCGAAATAAATTCAAAACAACCATCGAAAGTGAGTTTGAAGGTAGTTATAACAATTATGGTTGCTTGGGATTGTAACTGAAAAATGGTTGCAAATGTGCAAATGAAAAAATGTGAAAGAATTAAATGACAATTCCTACAAACAACGTCTCTATTATGTATTGAAATAGAGAATGATTGAAAGGTTGAATACAACCATCATGAAAACACTTCTAGTGTAGTGGAATAATTCTCTAATGATTGAATTTAATAATTACAAAATAGTCAACACTCTGACCCTCAACCAATATAAGATTGAAATAAAACTTTATCGGTATAAGTTGAATTGTATCTTAATGAGACTTATTATCACATTTATAATAGGAAATACAGTTACATATTATCACACTTATAATAGGAGAGACAGTTACATTCGTCTCTATGTTTTTCTTAGAGATGAGAATAGGTCTGGTCGGCTTACATGTCCTTAAAACCTAGACTATTTCAGAGCATATCTATTTGATAAAAAAGCTAGACTTAAAATTTTTTAAAATCCTATTTAATTATAAACTAGATTCAAACTTTTTAAATTTATCGTAGATCTGATTTAAATCTTCTAAAATTCAAGTAACTTATTTTCACCCCTTCTTCTCCGGAGAGCACAAGCACTTGTTAGATGCAAAGGAGAGACATACTCTTGTGTGGTGCTATAGATACATGTTTACCTTTAAGCTGATATTTGACGCGCCTCGGTTGAATTGAACCTATAAACTAAGATGTTGTTTTTTATCTTTGCCCAGCCCGAATCGTATACCATAACATGTGTATATGACTTAATTTATCCAATTAACTTTACTATACGTTGCCCATCAGTTTCACAAATGGCCAATAATCAAATTAATAGTGGAGTAAAAATGATTCTTATAATATTTTCTCTAGTTTTCTATTATTTTCTCTTTAGATTCTATTTGTCGGTGCAAATATGTTTAAAAATAAAATGATTAATATAAAAATAGGGTAAAAATTCCAAATCTTCCTATTAGATTTCTTATCTGTACCAAATTGATAAAGAAAATATTCAATAGGTCAATTATATCATTTATTCACACAAAAGATACATCCTATACAAATAAATACATTGAATGCAGAAAAAAAACCTAAATCAAAAACCAATATATATATATATATATATATATATATATATATATATATATATATATATATATATATATATATATATATATATATATATATATATATATATATATATATATATATATATATATATATATATATATATATATATATATATATATATATATATATATATATATATATATATATATATATATATATATATATATATATATATATATATATATATATATATATATATATATATATATATATATATATAATCATTGTAAATAGTTTTATATGATAGATTAATTATAACTTTTGATTATTAAAAATATTTAATTTTATAATAACTACTTCTAAAGCATATAATTGAAATATATTTACAGTATATAATAATAAATTTTATATAAAAATTTAAATTCATAATAAAAAAAATGATGAGTAGTGTAGTTCATCTAATTAAATAGATATACCGTGTTGAATTTTTTTTATAATAGCTATATATTAGGAATTAAATATCAAAATATTGAACTTTTCAAACAATTTACCAAATTAGCTATCATTCAACATTGTTTCGTCATATTCCAATTACACGTTTTCGCCAAGTAGTATGACGAAACAATGCTGAATTATAACTAGTTTGGTAAATTATTTGAAAAGTTCAATATTTTGGTATTTAATTCCTAATATATAGCTACTATAAAAAAAATTAGTTTAAAATTAAATATCTAATTGGCTTATTTATTTTAATAATTTTTGAAAGCCAAAAAAAATATTCTTTTAAGGGAAAAGTATTTCTCTTAATATGCATGTTCCTTACGACATTTAATTATGAAAATAGCATTAAAAACTACTTTCCTCTAGATGCTGCCAATCCATTTTCATGCTAATACAGCCCCACTCCAGCTTCATTCCACACTCTCTTCAATCAAGCACACATCCCGTGATCAACGCCCCACATTCCGCCACGTGTCCCTTCTCATCCTCATCAAAAACCCTCTATCCCCACACTTTCCTTCTTCTCTTCTTCACTCTCCAAACCCCAAAAACAAAAACGACAATGGCAGCAACAAAAACATCATCAAAAACAACAACGTTTTTGCCATTGTTGTTCTTCTTCTTCTCTTTTCTCCTTAACCTCTCCGAATCTAGACTCACCTTAGACTACTACAAACAAACATGTCCACAATTCGAACAAATCGTCCAACAAACAGTAACCTCAAAACAGATCCAATCACCAACAACCGCCGCCGCCACACTCCGTCTCTTCCTCCACGACTGCCTCCTCCCTAACGGCTGCGACGCCTCCGTCCTCCTCTCCTCAACCCCCTTCAACAAAGCTGAACGCGACAACGACATCAACCTCTCTCTCCCCGGCGACGCCTTCGATCTCATCGTACGCATCAAAACCGCCCTCGAATTCTCATGTCCCAACACCGTCTCTTGTTCCGACATCCTCTCCACCGCCACACGCGACCTCTTAATCATGCTCGGTGGTCCCCACTACAACGTCTACCTCGGCCGCCGCGACGGCCGAGCCTCCGCCTCCCCCTCCGTCAACGGCCATCTCCCTAAACCATCAATGCCAATGTCACAAATCATCGAAATCTTCACCAAACGCGGCTTCACCGTCGAAGAAATGGTAGCACTTTCCGGTGCTCACACAGTCGGATTCTCTCACTGTTCAGAATTCTCTTCCGAAATATACAACAATTCATCCTCTCCAAGTTCATACAATCCTCGTTTTGCTGAAGCCTTACGAAATGCTTGCCGTGATTATCAAAAGAATCCAACTTTATCGATTTTCAACGATGTTATGACACCAAACAAGTTCGATAATGTTTATTTTCAGAATCTTCCAAAAGGTTTAGGGGTTTTGAAATCGGATCATGGTTTGTTCAGTGACCCATTAACGAAACCGTTTGTGGAAACTTTTGCTGCGGATGAAGATAGATTCTTTAAGGTTTTTGCTTCTTCAATGCAGAAGCTTAGTCTTTTGGGTGTGAAAACTGGTAGGAGAGGTGAGATCAGAAGAAGATGCGATCAGATTAATTGATTTTTGATTTGTTTTTGTGAGGGTTTGTTCTGGATTCTGGTTTTCATAAAAATGTAAACTTTATTTTACTATATGTACTATAATTTTTCTCTTTTATTTTATTATATTTTTTATGTTATATTGTTTATGATATAATATGATAGTTAGATTTATAATTATTGATATGTGGTGGATCTGGAGAGTAGGAGAAATATTTGATGATTTATGCTCAATAATATACATACATAATTATTCTGTGTGAGCTGTGTAATTGTATGAGAGAGGGCATTGGCAATTTGGTATTGTGTTGTAAAATTTAATAAAATCTCTCTTTTTTATTCTTATCTTTTTGTTTATGTTTGAGATTCAATGCATAGATTGAAGCACTATGAGTGTAGTTTAAGTTTGAGCTTCAAATAAACTAATGAAGTAGTCATAGATTTTTTCAATGAACAGATTTAATTAGGTAAGGTTAAAAAAATGAAATGAAAAAAATAAGTAAGGGGAATTTAATGAAGTCTAAATATATTAAATGAAGAAGATGCTTTTTGTATTTGGAAAAATAGGGCTTTGTTTGTTTATTGGTGTGTATTTTTGTTAACCAGCTGGATACATGGCCAACAAGTGCACGTGGATATACAATAATTTATTAGATATATTAATCCTTTTTGTCTTAAGAAAAAACAGTTGTAGACTTAAGAGTGTTGTTGTTGTTAATGCACCTTCCTTGTTAGGTGCCGCGTATATAGTACCAAGACATTAAATATGTTATTTTATTTATCAAAGTGGTGGAGGATTTAATGGATGGTAAAGTTTTTATTTTTCAGTTTTAGGTAAGTGTTACGTAACATAGGATACCAAATGTTGTGAAAGAAAAAACATAGGATACCAAAATGTAGTTAATTTTGTTAAAATGAGATGATAGCTATCAAGTTTGATTTATTGAACGTAAATGAATGACTTTATATACGGTCAATATAGAAACAGAAAGGGAGTAAAATAAGGATCATGATTTACATGATTAGATCATGGCTATTTCTAAGGAGAAATAAATCAAACAAAGAATCCTATTCTTTAGAATAGGCTTATTCATAACAAGTAAATAACTCTAAGCATGAATAAGTCAAAACTAACTAACAGCACTATTCTAATATTCTAACAAACCCTCCAATAAACTGAACTGTATTCAAGAAATACATTCAGTTTATATCTTTAATGCTGCATATTCCAAGTCTTTCTCTCAATTTCACGAATACTTCACGTTTCAAGGCTTTGGTCGTGATGTCAGCTAACTGATCCTTAGTACCACAGTGCACTAGTTCAACTTCTCCTTGGTTTGCTAACTCACGAAGAAAGTGAAATCGAACATGAATATGCTTACTCTTACCATGCATAACAGGATTCTTCGAAAGTTTAATCGTTGAACTATTATCGCAGAAGATAATTCACTTACGTTGTTTAATCCCCAACCTCTCAAGTACACGCATCATCCAAATACTTTGTGCAGCACAAGCTGCTGCAGAGATAAATTCGGCTTCAGTGGTGGACAGCGACACCACAGGCTGCTTCTTAGAGCTCCAAGCAACTAATCCATTTGACATCTTAAAAACATACCCTGAGGTGCTCTTTCGGTCTTCAAGATCTCCAACATAGTCACTATCACAGAAAGCTACCAAATTCTCTTCTCTTTCTCTTTTGTAAAACAGTCTCAATTCAGTGGTTCCTCTTAAGTAGCGCAGAACCCTTTTCACAGCTTGTTGGTGCATAGTCGTTGGAGCTTCCATGAAACGAGCCATCAGACTCACAACATACATCAGATCTAGTCTAGTGGCAGTTAAGTACATAAGACTTCCCACCATTTGCTTATACACGGTAGCATCAACCTTTAATCCTCCAACATCCTTTGTGAGTTTGCACCCTGGAACAATTGGGTTATTGACAGATGAACAGTTTTGTAAGCCAAACCTTTCCAATACTTCATTAGCATATTTCCTTTGACAAATAAAAATGCCATTTGAAGTTTGTGTGACTTCCACACCAAGAAAATATCTCATGCATCCCATATCAGTCATCTCAAATTCCCTTTTCATTGAGCTCTTGAGTTCTTTGAACATTTTGTCAATATTTCCTGTAAAGATGAGGTCATCTACATACAAATTTACAATCAGAACGTCTCCTCCTTCCGCTTTCTTTGTAAACAAAGTGTGATCGCTCATGCTGCATTCAAAGCTTTCCTTGACAAAGTATGACTCTATCTTGTTGAACCATGCTCGAGGGGCCTGTTTAAGCCCATAGAGAGCTTTCTTCAGTTTATACACTTTGTCTTCTTTACCTGTCACCTCATATCCCTTCGGTTGTTCCACGTATACTTCCTCTATTATTTCTCCATGTAGGAATGCACTCTTGACATCGAGTTGATAAACATTCCATCCTCGACTAGCGGCAACAGACAAAGTTAGTCGAATTGTATCCCATCTTGCCACGGGCGCGAATACCTCAGTGTAATCGATTCCAGCTTGTTGAACATATCCTTTCGCAACAAGACGCACTTTGCATTTGTCTACTTCTCCTTTTTCATTCATTTTGGTCTTAAATACCCACTTAACACCAATCTTTTTTGCTCCTGTTGGCAAATCTGTTAATTCCCACGTTCCATTCTTCTCAATTGCTGCAATTTCATACTTCATTGCATCCCTCCATACCTGACTTTTGACTGCTTCCTCAAAGGTGGCAGGATCATTTGAAACAAACATGGCAAGCTGCTGCATCTCTTGGGTAAGCTGTTCCACTCCTTCGTTTTCTTCTTCGGACAATCCAGCTCCAGATTCATAGTCTATCATCCATATCGGCTCCCTTCTTACTCTCTTTTCAGGAAGATTGATTCTTTCATCTTCTGAATCTTTATTCTCCTGATTCTCTTCGTTTTCATCTTCTGAATATTTATTTTCCTGACTCTCTTCGTTTTCTTCATACATAGAATCAAGAAAGCTAGTTTCTCCTGACTTCTTCAAATCCCACTTTTCCATTTCATCGAAAACTACATCTCTAACTAATAATGATCTTCTTTGTTTCTGGATCATACATTCGAAAAGCTTTGGACTCCTCACTAACTCCCATGTAGACGCACTTGATGCTCTTCTCATCCAGCTTCTTCCTTGTGACATCAGGAATATGAACATATCCTATGCATCCAAACACCTTAAGGTGTACCACTGATGGTTTCTTTTCTTTCCAGGCTTCTTCGGGTGTCATGTTTTGCAAGGCTGAGGTTGGACATCTATTCAAAACATGAGTGTCCAGGTTTGCTGCTTCCGGCCAATACTCCTTTGGGACATCTCGTGCTGCAATCATACATCGCACCATATTCATTAGTGTTCGGTTTCTTCTTTCCGCAACTCTGTTCTGCTGTGGTGAGTAGGCTGCGGTGAGTTGTCTTGCGATTCCATTGGTGTTGCAATAGTCATTAAACTCTGATGAAGTGAACTCTCCACCTCTGTCGGTGCGTAGACAAATTATGTTGTATCCTGTTGTCTTCTCAACTGATGACTTGAACCTTTTGAATGTATCAAAAGCTTCTGACTTGGCATGTAGAAAGTAGGACCACATTTTTTGGCTGTAATCATCTATAAAAGTAATTATATACCTTTTATGACTGTGAGATTCAGGAGTGATTGCACCACATATATCTGAGTGATATAGTTGTAGAGGTCTGGACGCTCTCCAAGTGATTTTTTTTGGAAAAGAATCACGTTGTTGCTTTCCTTTCATACATATGGTGCACACCTTGGATTGATTCTTCAATATTGGCAGGCCTTGAACCATCTTTCTATAGGCAAGAGTCCGTAGTCCTTTCATGTTAAGATGTCCAAATTTTTGATGCCACAAGCTTGTGACATTTTCAGAGGTTACATTGAAACATGCTTCCTTTGATACATTATTAGGGACAGTGGGAACCGATGCTAGAAGCACAAACGTACGATTTGCAGATATCGCAGTTCGTATGATCAGACCTCTAACATCATGATAAATGCTACAACAACCATTCTTAATTAATATGGATAGATTTCGTTCTTGAAGCTGGCCAATGCCTAGGAGATTTGATTTAAGATCAGGAATGTAAAATACCTCTGTGACGACCATAACTCGTCCATCTATTTTCATTCGAATTTTTCCTTTTTCCATGACAGCCAATTTGGAGTCATTTCCCAGCTTCACGTTGTGTCTGAATGATTTATCAATTTCAGTGAACCATTTCATGTCTCCACTCATGTGATTACTGCATCCGGAGTCCAGAAACCAAACTTCATCTTGTGTGGCTCCTTGCATTTCCACATATGACATAAGAAGCATCTCCTCTCCATCATCCAGCACTGCATTTTCTACATAATTGGCATAGGTGGGACATTCATGTTGGAAATGTCCCAGCTTGTGACATCAATAACACTCAACTGTGGATTTATTGAATGCTCTGCCTCTGCCTCTACCTCTATATCCTCCACGCCCTCTACCTCTGTCGCTGAATCGTTCCTCAACTCGTAAATTAGAACCGTCTCCTGTAACCTTCAATGCTTGTTCAGTCACATCCTTTCGTTTAATCTTGTATTCATGTAAAAGCAATGAACTGTGCAGTTCATCTACTGTCATCGTATTGATATCATTGGATTCTTCGATTGAGCATACAATATAATTGTACTTGTCGGATAGTGTGCGCAGAATCTTCTCAACAATATGTCTATCCTCCATGGTCTCTCCTGCTCCTCTCATGTCATTTGCAGTTAACATGACTCTAGACATACAATCATTCACACACTCACCATTTTGCATTTCTAGAATTTCGAAATCCCGGCGTAGCCTTTGGAGTTGAGCTCGTTGAACTCGAACATTCCCCTGATATTTTTGCTTCATTGAATCCCACAGTGCTTTTGAGGTGGATTTGTCGGTGATTGTTTTCAAAATATTATTGTCAATAGATTGAAACAGATAATTCTTTGCCTTCAAATCCTTTAGCTTTTTCTCCTCCA